TGTCTTATGTCAGCAAGGCTATGCCATTTTTCTGACTTATGGCTAGCTCTTTAACAAAGTCATTTCATATTCGTGTTTTATTTGGACACATTGCATGTGCATATGAGGAGTGTTGTGTTTGATAATTAGCAAATGTTCATGCTTTTGTACTAGCCAGTAGGAAAAATATCGAAGGTTGCTGGTTAGCTATATCTGTTCCCGAAATTGTTTCCAACTTCAGCATCCTGCAGAGTGATAAATTCTAGACTAGTGACATTCAAGTCTTATAGTTGGAGTGTACGATCTTCTGGTTGCTATACTGTGTACTTGGAGAAAGGCCCGAGGTTTCAGAACATCACCTCTATCTTCAGGGTTGTAGACTATGCTAAGCAAAAAACAGCACACTAGCCTGTACCAAGTAGAACCATCAATCCTCAGTATGGAGATATGTCCCTCTGAAATGTTGAGCCATTTTTGAACTACACGGAACTGTTACACAGAAGACCGTTCTGTTCAGAATTGAAGTTGGTTCTATATATAAGTAATCCACCATGGCATGGAGATAATGCACCATTCATTCTTACTGTCAGCACTTTGGCTGCTGTTCAGTTGAGTTCAGCTCTGGATGGAAGACTTCGTTGTTTTTATGTAATGGATGCTGGCCAAGGTCCAGGTTGCCTTGGCCATTCAGTTGCCAATTGAATATTGTGTGATAACCTAGTGCAGCTTTTCTCAACCTTTTTACATTGGAGGAACCCTTGAAATAATATTCAAGTCTCAGGGAACCCCTACATAAAAATTATTGTAAAGGCTGTAAACTGATCTTATAACATTAAATTTATTGAAAATGTTCAGTAGTAATGTCACTGAAAACCATAAGATAAATCAAAGCAATATGAGCAAGAATATTGTCTAAAACAATGTTATTTTTTAAACTAAAATAAAGAATGAAATTTACTTCTTTAAAGTGAAATGTGTGCTTGCACAAAAACTTAAATCTGAGTCAAACTTTAGATAAGCACAAATGGAGTTCATCTTCAGTTGAAATTAAATGATTTCTCTCTTTGCACTTGATTCTTGTTAAACAAGAAGAAGCTTGCTCACACATGTAAGAAGTTAAAAACTGCAGCAATATGTTTATTGCTTTCCTGTGAATGTCAGAATAGTGTTCTATCACAGAAATCCAGAACATGCTCAGGGATGGATCCAAAAATCTTGTCTCGAATGTATGATCAGCCTGCAGCTCATGAAGTTCTTCCTCTTCTCTTCAAGTCAAGTTCTCAGGCCAAGCAGATGATTCAGAACAAGGTTTCCTCACCCAGTCATACACTTATGTTGAAAGAGAGGGAAAATAATGTTTAATTTTGTTCTGTAGTTCTTCATGGTGGTTATCAATAAGATTCGAGACTTGCTGATATCCTTCTTCACTCTCAAGCCCCAGTAGCAGTGGAAACATTTCAAGATTTCCTCTCAAAACATGATTCATCCAAAGATTCAGTTTCCTATTAAATCCAAGAATCTTGTCACTTGAAGAGAAAACATTTTCTCTAGGGCCTTGCAGAAGCTTGTTCAGCTGATTCATGGGAATCAGTCTGCTAAGTAGGCTAGTTTCTCCAGCATTCTTCATCTTCAAACCACTTTGCAAAATCTTGTCTACTGTTTTCTTTAAAGTAATCTTTCAGTTCACATTTCAGTTTAAACACCCTGTTGAGAACTCTTCTTCTGTGAAACCACCAGATTTATGTATGTAGCATGAGACTTATATGCTCTTTTTCCAGGTTTTCACACAGTCATTTTTAACAGTCTGTAGTGAACTGGTCTGTATTTAATAAAGTTAATCATTTTTATAGCATCATCCATTGTTTCATTCAATCTCCAAGAGTTTTTAGACCAGCACCTCTCTGTGAATAAAGCAGCATGTTGTGACAATATCAGGATTTCCTTTTTTTAACAAAAGAGGCAAAACTTCTAGCAGAGCCAACCATTGATGGCGCACCATCATTACAGATGCCTACTCAGTTTACCAAAGTGGCCTTTTGTTTTCAAATATGAAGACAAGACATTAAAAATATCTTTACCTTCGCTTGTTTCAGACAGCTCTTTGCAACAGAGGAAGTTTTCACGAATTTCGCTATCATTTATAAATCTTACAAATACTACAACATAACTGTTATTGGTAAAATCTATTGACTCATCAACCCGGAGAGCGAAGGAGTTTATCACACAAAATCTCTTCAGCATCATGTGACATGTCATCTATTTTGACTGTTATTGTACTATTTGAAAGGAAAATTTTCAGTTCCATGTACTGCATATTGTCCCAGCATTTTACCCACTATAATTTTACATGCTGACTTCATTAGATTCTCACGAGCTGTATGACTTGTCCTTTACTGGGAATCAGCTCTGCTAACAAATAACTTGCTTCCCAAGCTACTTCACTGGCTGTGACTTTACTAACAAAAGCTTGACTCTGTTTGTTTTGAGATTTCAATAGCCATTTAAAATAATCACTTTAATTAGTCATATGGCTGTGATTTGTAGTGTCGTTTCAATTTTGCTGGAGCCATTGTTGCGTTTGTAAGTCATTTGCCACAGACAAGGCACAGTGGGATTGGACAACATGAATCACCAGTCCATGTAAAGCACATTGACAAGGAGCTTTCATCATAAAGATGAACCTTTTTTGTGTCCACTGTTGCACTATTGCAGTGAAATTTGTCAGAAGCTTCTGAGTCTTCGTCACTAACCTCATCAGAACTGTTTGTATCCTTAGGACTAAAGTCCCCCTCTTTTATCACAGGCCTGCTCTTCAACAGTCGCTACATAGGACTGTCTGACACTTGTGTAAAACACAAGGGTTAGTAAAATGTAAAATGGAATGGCATAATAGATAACTAAAAGAGAATGTCACAAAAAGTATGAGAACTTTGCAATGCTTCTAACTATAAATCGACCTTAGGCAGCATTTACAACAAGCATGTGCCTCATTCCTCCACAGCAGTGTTGCTAACCACCAAATGTTAGTCCCCCATTCATACCTGCCTCCATTCACTGTACCCTGCAATACAAGTTACCACAAAATAATGAAAACTATTACAATGAACTATTAATTTCAGTTTTGTTGCATTTGTTTCCAGTTTCTTTAAAGATTAATTGCTATTATGGTACTAAGATAATTGAAATTTTCAAATAACTCCTTTAAATACTGAACAACCATAGTAAATGTTAATGGTTAAAAAATTAATAAGCCAATATTATTTTTATGTAAGTTGTAAACTCCAAATATAGCAAATAGCTTTAGTGGTTATTATTAATATAAACACATATAAGCATTAATGTTAAAACTATTTATTTGTATATAGAGATACTGGGTTTTTGGACTTGTCCATCGTCCAGATTCTAAATAACTAAGAAAAAACACAATGTTTCGGAAACTGGATCTGTTTCCATCCTCAGGTGAGGGAAGACACCTACTCTGTTGGGTCCCTTAGAGGACGGAAACAGATCCAGATTCCGAAACGTTGTGTTTTTTCTTAGTTGTTTAGATTCCCGATGATGGACAAAGTCCGAAAACCCAGTATCTCTGTGTGTTATACACCATCATCAGAACCCTAAGGTATCTACTTATTTATATATATGTATATTTTTTCACGATTTCTTGCTCAACCCTAGGGTCCCAGGGAACCCTGGCTGAGAAAGGCTGTCTTAGGGTAACTGTTCTGATAATAACAAATTTCTGCTTTAACAGAAGATGTTATTACAATCAAGACAGGTGCAAAGAACAGATAACCATTTAAGAGGCTTGATGTACTATTTCTATAGATTGCCTCTAAGAATATTTCCAATCAGCAACTTGGGAGTGTTTCAGAAATATCCAGAATTCCATGCAATCAATACAAGATACGAGTGTGATCTTCATGGACCAGCTGCAAATGTTACAGTCTACCAAAAGCAAGTATAGCATGCTGGAACAAAATTTTACACCCATCTTGCACCAAAATTTAAATGTTTGTCATCTAACAGAAAGCAATTCAAAATATAACTAAAGACAGTTCTTTTGATTCGGAACTTCTACCTTGCAGATTAATTTCTATTTTGAGCAAGTGCAACTAAAGAAGTCATTGATCTGATCACAACATAACCAAATGTTTCAGCCACATGGTGATTGAACTAGTGCAGTAAGATGATAGAATACAATTTCTAATAAGTTTTTGACTGTGTGTAAACACGTGCCTAATTGCAACAAATTTCTGTAAGTATATTTACATATGTGGACTGTATCCTAGTGTGTTGCTGCCTGTACTGCTAAGAAATATTAGGCTAATTGCAGTCATGTGTCCAATTGCAGTGCATAAATTTATATGCACCTTCTATCTTTGAATGTACAGCAAAATTGCCATATATTGTGGCTATGTATGGATTGAATCGGTTGCGTTTCCAAATGTGTTGTACTCTGATATAGCCCATACCCATCTATCTGCCTACCTCATTGGCAACGATGGTTTTCAAAAACAGGGACTCAACTCATTGTGTCTTGCCCATCTGTATTCACTTGTTTTCCTCAGAAATTATGGGGATACAGGAAAAGCATTAGAATTTAAGAGAAGAGGTTTCATGTGGTGTTAATATAATGGAAGTAGGGGATATTTTTTAATACTTATGTGGGCTTTCACTGCATGTTTCCTACATTTGAATATGCTTTGAGATACCATGGTATTCCAACCTAATGTCAGTATTATTATTAGTATTTATTCAGTATTCCAGACATCCGTAAGATAATCGACCCAACAACTTTGTGTTCTTTACAATACCGGACGACGGAAAAATTGCAAACCCCAAATAATCCTAAGCCTCCTAAGCAATAGTAAATTTGAAGGCAACTAAGCTAATGGCGCCGGAATTAATACCATGAAATGTAAGACTTGCGTATAGATGGCACTCATTACTACTACAACCCAAAGCAAAATTGATCCGTTGTAGCACAGATCTGTAGTAATATGTCACACTAGGTGGTTATCGTAGTTATCATTGCGTTTCTGTTGGCATTTTGAAAAGTTGTTGGAGGGCTTAGGTGGAATGGTGTGAAGTGTTTGGTATAATTAAACCAAATTTTATAAATGTGTGGTGTATGTAATGTCAGTATTAGATTTTAAAAATATGTCTACGTAAGATTTTGCAAGCAAGCGAACATTTATTATGTTGAAGAAAGCAGTCTTCTTGGATTTGGCACCGTGTATATGTGGCGTCAACCGACGTTTCGGAGGAACGTATCGCCTCCATCTTCAGGGTAGAAGGAAAAATATAAGAAATCCGCAGGCGAAGAGACCGTGAGAACCGGTACAAGCAGACGTGTTGGAAATATATATAACTATGTGAGAGCAGTGAAGGAAGGGGGGAAGGGCAAGTCTACATGTGAAATCAGTGGAGNAAACCCCCCCTCTCTGTTCATATTTTCAGGATGGAGTTCAGTTGTCTCAAAGAGTCATGGACGCCTCTCATCTGTTCTCTTAACCCCCACCCCCAGGATATGACGCCAGATCCAGAAGGCTACACAGGCCATGACCGACTAACATAACAACCCCCACCCCCACCCCAGCTTATGGGTTAGTGCCCATCCTTTAACCTTGCCTTTCTCTCCCCCAATACAAAACCCTGCCTCTGTCCCAGCTCTTTTCCTCCCCTCCCACTCCACTGATTTCACATGTAGACTTGCCCTTCCCCACTTCCTCCACTGCTCTCACATAGCTGTGCATATTTCCAACACCAGTCTGCTTGTACCAGTTCTCATGGTCTCTTCGCCTGCAGATTTCTTATATTTTTCCTTCTACCCTGAAGATGGAGGCGATACGTTTCTCCGAAACCTCGGTTAACACCACATATACACGGTGCCAAATCCCAGAAGACTGCTTTCTTCATAGTCACCGCCGTGAAAACCTCAAATCTTACATTTATTATGTTACGTAGGAACACATGCAATGTACATGTTCCTGTAGTTTGAAGCCGGTTTAAGACTTCGTGTTTGTGGCCTCTTGGCATTGTAAGGTTACAGGATAAGGTAAGAAATCCTAGTAGGTTGAGCCCCCTGGGTCACGGTGTAGTTATCCTGCCAGTACCAAGAAAACAATAAATTTATCAAACAGCATGGTCTGAAGAAACTGGAACATAGTGTTCAAAATGTCTAGTGAAAGGATCATCCAAAAAAGGCATCTGAATAACCTGTAGACAGATTACAATTAATGATCATGTAAGCATTATATAATTGTTACTATTTGTTTGATAGTTCTGGAGAGGCGTGTTGTCTGTCCTATAGTGGTATCAGTGAAGGGAAGCTGTTTCCAGTGATGATGGATGCCGAGTTGCTGAGTGACCAGGGCCCACACAGTGTTGCCCTCTCTGTTCAGCTGTCCTGCCCATGCAAGGAGCCCTGAACAAAAGGTGCGTGTCATCACACACCATTACAGCTGTACCCAGTGTTCAGATGCCTGACACGTATCAGATCTTTGTCAGGATATATAGTGCCCCAGTTAGCAGGTCATGTTCCCTAAGCATTTCTGAACTTCTTTTTTAATTAAAAGCAGACGTGCCCCTTCTTAGTGGGAACATAATCTTTACCTCAGACTACGTTGAGCTCAATCTGTCAGGATGGATGATAAACTCAAGAACCACAGAATGGAGTTTTTTAATTCACTTAGTAGGGGGTGTTACTGTCACTTCCACGTGGCTTGAATGATAAGTAAAAATCAGTGTTCAATCTAACCCTGCTTTAGTAAGAATAACTTTTGATACACAAAGGCGTTTTATATATATTCACACACATAACAATAGCGAGATTCTGTTTTTACACACATAACCGTAGTAACACATAACAACAGAGAAATTAGGAACAGCGCATGTAGTGCAATCTGTTATTGAAAATTGTTTACTACGACGTTGCCAACTCAAGCATTATATTTTAACATTAGAGAGTTGCTAACATAACAGGGGGTGGAGTCCAACTGGGTCCACGCGGCACGGCGGCCACTGATTGGCCTCTTGTAGCCTGTCCCAGGTGGTTATGATGATGGAGAATTTGGTGGAATGTAAATTGAGAGGGGAAACCGAAGTACTTGGAGAAAACCTGTCCCAGTGCCACTTTGTCCACCACAAATCCCACTTGACCAGACCCGGGATCGAATCGGGGCCGCAGTGGTGGGAAGCCAGCAACTAACCACTTGAGCTATGGTGCAGCCTTACAGAATTGAGTTTCATGACATTTTACATTTGAGAATTTATGAAGAATTGTTGTCTTTTTTTTATATATTTTTTCATTATTATTTAGAGGCAGAAATGCACATAGGACATCACGTACATTAATGTCATGCATAGTTCACTAAATATTTAACAGAAAAAAATGTTAGGAGCAAAAGTTGTAGAGAAAAATAAAATTCATGCTTTGTGTTCTATGTACTTTTCCCATAAGTCTTCAGGTTTTCTGAGATAATTGAACATATTAGATACAGCGTGTTCAATTCCAGAATTCTGTATCGAACAAGTACCACAATTTTCTGATCATTTCTCAAACTTGCATTGTCTGTCTTCCTTGATGATTTGTATGTCTTTTCACCTTTGTATATAGTGGGCAGTACACTAGTATGTTATGAACACAACAAGAGTTAAAGGAACTGCCTTCATCTTCCTATATAAATAGCAAATCAGTGCAAAGACATTGCACATTCTTTCTCTTAAGAGAGTATAGTGTTATTTTGCTGAAGGTACCACCTGTGCAGTTTAATGTAGAGAGATCATCTCCATAAATTACTGAAATTTAGTCAATAATAACACAGATATTTTTGAGAGAATTGTAATTTTGTTCTGTGAGGCCTATGTGAAGGGTCCCTATTGTTAGGGTTAGAATGTTCATAGCCTCTGGGCACCAACCTGTGACAGACAAACTCTTGAATACTCAACAAGAAGTCCTGGGAGGAACTGACTACCTACTTTCCTTTCAATACAAATTCAATATTTCATATGACAGATGGGGTAAAACTTTGTTATATGTGCATAAGTCAATGAAACAGTTTGTTAGATGTACATCCCCCTTGGTCATGAAGTGAAATACAGTAAAACCCACCTTAAACAGAATCTCAAGGGTCCAGAACATTATTCTGCTGAAGCCAGGTTTCCGTTTAATCAAGGTATACTATAATAACTAAACCAGGACATAAACATAGTTGAGACAAAACAAAACAACATGATCATTAATTTATTCACACTATAATCATTGAACACATGCAAACATTACACTGAACAGGAAAAAATTGCAGTACTCACTTTTTATAATTTTACCAGAACTCCGGCAGAGTGTTTTGCACATAGTTTACTCTCTTGGCTGCCTGACTTTCCTCAAACACTTTAGCTTGAGGAATTACACTAAGCATGTCTGAATCATTCTGTTGTACAGAAAATTCCTGCAGTTGCTTTAAACTTTTGACAGCATCTTGATAAGTCTTTACTCTACAGTTTTCTTCTTCTATCACAATGTCATTTTCCTCTTCTTCCTCTTCCTCCTCCTCTCTTCCTTGCCGACTTTCTCTAAAATTCTGAACTAATGCATTGATATCCATTGTGTCTGGTTCTGTTTGCACATCTTTGTCTATGTTGATGTAGTCCTCAGCATTGCAGTTACTGAAAGCAGCTTCATTCATGCAATTTTGTAAGTCCTGCTGGTCATTCTCATTTTGTACACTAGCAGTAACCACCTGTAGAAAATCGTGCTTTTTCGAAACACTTTGCCACAGTTTCTGGTAACAGCATCTTTACTGCTTGACTTATCCAAGTAACCGCAACTAGAACTAAGACAGTTCTTGCAAGTTCAGAGGCGGATGATGTAGAATCTATACTGGCGAGCAAAGATTGCATTAATAATTTATGATAGTGGACTTTAACAATCTGAATGATGGCCTGATCCATTGGCTGAGAAACATTAGTGGCATTTGGAGGGAACCAAGCAAGTCGCACGTTGGAAAGTTCGATATGGGGGTGGCATGTTGCGTTATCCAAAAACAAAATATGCCTTTTTGTCAGATCTCCACTTAGCGGGAAGTTACCATATGTCCATGTTTCTGAAGTATGGTGGTTTTGCTACCTTGCCGATCACTAAGGGTTTCTCCATTTCGCCTGATGTAAAACCACAGAAAAACAATCAAACTTTCTTTATCCAGTTGTGCAGAAGAACAGTCCAAGTCTCATCACTGTTCACTATGTTTTCAGGTTATTTCCCTTGATTATGGATGGCAATTTAGCTACCCACTCCTCAGTGGTCTCACTATTTACATCACTTGATTCACCACAAAGTTCATTAAAAACTATCTCATGTGTTTTAAGAAAACTCTCCAACTATCCGTTACATGCTTTGAATTCAGTCTTCCCTAGCCTATGCCCATACCACAGGACCTGACACACAGTGATTTTTTGCCCTGACACTGACAAACCACTCCCACACTCTTTCATTAATGTTTGCAGTTTTCTTAAGTTCTCTTTTTATTTTTCCAGTAGCACAATTTTCCCACTACTTCAGAATTTCCATTTTCTTCTTTAGAATCTCATACACTTGAGTTTTACTGATGTTAAACATCTTCATGATCTGTTAAACAGACAATTTATCTTGCTCACTCAGATGAATCGTTTTTACTCTTGTGTTAAGATCAAGCACAACTCTTGTCTTTGTAGCCATGTAACTGCTAGACTAAAGTAAAAATATAGGCCTAGAACCCTTACTGAGTAAAATTTCTTGAAGGGGCAAAAAGTTCAGCTGAATATCAGTCTAGGTAGTGCTGTACCGTTAAAAGCTGAATTGAAAGAGTTACGGGAAACAGAATTCTGTAGAATGTGTAGGATGCCTAAAATTCATCTAAACAATGCATTCCAGAAGACTGAACATTTTCTGCATAAAGGCTTATTTTGATTTCCATTTCCACGTTAGACAGTTTCCATTTAATCCAGGATATTTAACATCTTTTCAGCTCCAAAATCATGGGACCTGAAAATCTTTCTGTTCAATAAAGGGCCTGTTTAAGGCAGGTTTTACTGCATAATTTTGACAGTGCATTATAAACACGATAAATTTTCTCCTATATAACTCCCCCCATCCCTACTTTTGTACTGTAAGGGAGTAGGAAGGGCATGGAGAATTACTTTTTTTTGGAGGATTCCAGAGCATATACTGTCAGTCTTCTGGGGATTCTCACAGTACACTGATAACTGTTAAATGTGCTGTGAGAATCCCTTGAAGATGGCTGACAGGAGTCGATAAATAGTTGGAAGTATCGTTAATGATGAGTGAAGATGATGAAAACTAATTGTAGCCTTTTCGTTTTGCTTTGCAGGGAGGGCAGTGAGAGTCATCAGAGTCAATGCACTAGAGAGGACATGTGTGCAGTGCCATGCCTCTTATTAGAGGTGCAGCTGCAGTTCTGCAGTTGGGTTATGGTTGAACGTGTCTGTGTTTCAGCTCTGAGGTGATTCTAAACATAAATGTAAGCCCGTCACTGAAACCGAAAGAATTAACAAACTCACAGTATGCTGTGGAATGAAACAGATATGTCATGTGATGACAGAGTTATAGATGCTGATTTTATGTGTAAAATAATGATTACTCTTAATATTCGTGTTAGAAATTGAGAATTTGAAGTATGCCATTATGAGATCATATTGGAGAGAGAGCGAAGGACTTCTTAGAAATGTTACGCAGGTTTATATGATTCGTTATTTGTTAGAAGAAAATATTAATATTATTACAGGTACTTACGAAACAGCACTTCAGTATAGATTAGTTTGTATTTGGCTGATGAAATTTGACATTATAGGAGAGTTTAAAAGTAGATACAAATTTTTGTGTTAAACACTTTCTGTATTGGTAAGTATGAGCTTGGTCATAGTGAACTGTAAGTAATGAAGCTTCACTGTTTCAGTTACTTTCTTTGGAAATAATTTTGCAGTATGAAAGTTTGTGTTGACTCCCATCAATTCTCCATGCCTTGCATAGTCTTTTGAGTGGTTTGTAGCCATGTTTTATTAATTGTTGAGCAGAATGTTAACACAGTTTTTGTAATGATGGACCTGATACAGAACTCAAGTTCTGGGGAAGATCAGCATTTTCATTTTATGAGCTGATTGTCCTTGACGTTTGTTATTGTGCTTGAATATTTTTGTTCCATTTTGTTTCTGGTTCTTCTAGAACCAGTATTTGGTCCCCGTTAATAATCTAATCTAGATAATTGCATCTTATGAAAGCTGTACTGACCTCAGAGTTTGTGAAACAGTGAAAATTACAAATGTGGCTATGGATATCTTGGTGTTTTGCCTGTAGTAGCTGAAAAGTAGAGGACAATTATATAATTATTGACTGGGAATTTTGGTTGGACACGAGTTTGGAAATGGAAAATAAGCATAACGTTCTTCAGTGAAGTTTTTCGTATATAAGTAGTGCAGTATTCCATGGCTTTCATTTGTAAGGGAATGGAAATTAATTTCCAATTTTTAAGGAGCTGAAATCTTTATTTTTATATATTTTTACAGTGTTCTAATATGGAGATGATATTAGATATTATTAGTACTTTTTCTTTAGGCCAGTATGTATACCAGCAAATACATGATATGTATTGACAAGCTTGTCAAAAGTCTCACACATTTACCATTGCACTGTATTTTTTAATCTTGAGGCAAAAACTGAACTTGAGAGTACCAGCAAACATGTTTGTGTGTGTGTGTGTGTGTGTGGGGGGGAGGGGGGCAAGTGCCAAGTATTATCATGCAAGAATGTTATATAACCATAAATTTTTTGCGTCATTGCAGCCACATAGAAGTTTTACGCTTTGTTGAAATTAAAAGTGGATCAAGTTTGAAATCGTACATACAGATTCGCATGCAAATCAGAATCTGTCTTTTAATGCTATTCATGTGATTGTTTCAGGCCTGCGACTCACCAGCACGACACCTCAAGTGACTCGTCTGTCATAAGAAGAAGGAGTTGTTGCTGTACAGTCATAACCAGCAAGATACAGCATTTCTCTGACGTCCATTATGCTGTCCTATCATCCATGCATGACAGGAAGATACTATTACAGTATTACAGGAAGAAATGTCAGTTTGATGTGTGTGACCATGTCAGACTGATACGTATTTGTCCAACAAACTGCCTCTCTTGCTTTACTATGTTTGCATGCAGGAGGGTAACACATATGCATGATATCATCCGACTTTGTATCTTACTTTGATGCCATCGATACGCAACATCGGTTATTATTCATTTGCTTTTCTTTATTGACACTACATGTTTCGGCCCAACCAGCCATCTTCAGGTGTACAGGTTGTTGTGATTGCAGAATCTGCTGCTCACTGTAATGCTGTTTTGTTTCTGTTACGTAGAGTGGAGATCTCGGATTGCATCTGGTTATGTGGGTTAGTCATCTGTTTTTTTATTTAGGTGTCCTTCCGCTGCTGGTGTATGCTTCATGGTTTTGTGTGGCTGTGGCTGTCTTGAATGTTCTTGCTGGGGCAGGAATTTGTTGTCTTGATGACCAACCACAGCACAACAAATATGCCCAGCTCAAGGACACCTAAACAAAAAACAGATGGTTAACCCACATAACCAGATGCAATCCGAGGGCTCTACATAACAGAAACAGAACATGATTACAGTGAGCAGCAGGTTCCTTGAGCACAACAACCTGTACACCTGAAGATGGTCAGTTAGACCGAAACATGTAGTGACGACAAAGAGAAAACTGTGAGAGAATGTTAACTGACGTTGCACGTAGGTGGCATCAAAGCAAAATGCAAAGTCTGATCTAAGCAGTGCAACAGGATGCTGCACTGTAACATTATGCCTGATATCAGTTTTTATGTAAATTCATTCATGGTCTTCTGGCTTGTGACATGGTTACCAAAGTTTTCTACTGGTCTGTTGAAGCCAGGAGCAGTATGTCCTCTGGTAACCATCTACCAGGCAACACAGTGTCATAACTTAGGAGACCAGAATAAGATGTTTCACCATTGTGAAAGATTAAAATCTGATACTGTGTAAAATTGTTTGTATATTCAAATCTGGTGGATACTGTAAGGAAGTAATCACTAAACCATAGTAGTTCTGTTTTTCCTTATAAAGGAAAGAACTTGAGAGGTAAAGCTATCCCCATACCAGGACATGGAGGCCCCTAGCGTTGTGAGACGTCGAGGCTCCCACATTTTCTCTAGGCAGTCAGCTCACAAATGGCGGGAAGGTTGTCAGCCTTACGCGCTGGCCACCCTTTACCCCCCTCCCCATGAAGATTGCTGGTACCCATTTCTGTTAGAGGCCAATTACAGACACTGCAACGTGTAGATAAAAGTAATTGCATATGGACAAACACAACATAAAGTCAAAGACTAATTATGTGTAAGCACTGGAGCAAAGACACATTAATACAATTAATGTAATTAATAATTCAATTCAATTCATGTTCATTTTCATGCAAACTTAACAGCATAGAGGCCAATTACAAAGGTAGCATGAGTACCTAGAAATATACAAAAGTAATTAAAGAACAAAATATGACTCTGTATACAAGGGCAATAAATTAATAATAATTACAAGAAAAACTATAAAGTTAGCATTGACAGGAGAAAAAAATTGAATGTGTAAATTTCTGATGGTTATGCCATCTTGTGTAATAATAATAATAATAATGATTCAATTCGTGTTTATTTATCTGCAAGCTTAACAGCACAGAAGCCAATTACAAAGTTGGCATGAGTACATAGAAATACACAGAATAACTAAAAAAACAAAATACAAAATAAAACAGTTTATATAATGGCAATAAATTAATAATAATTCCAAGAAAAA